CTTGTTTGATATTCTGAAGAAGAAATGGAATAGGAAAAAATTTTGAGGAGGAGAGATCAAGATGTTGTGAAGGGAAGGTTGATGTAATTACTCTCTTGAGGAGACATGCTCAAGTGGAGTAAGATGCTTAAGTCAGGCAGTTTGGCAGACTTAAGAGTGTGGAATATACCCTAAAATTACTTGAAAGTTGCAAAGAGTGAATGAAGATAGATTTTTGAACTGGAGGGAAGTTACAGTAATTTGAACTATAATCTATTCTCAGAGCAGCAGGAAGAGAAGGGAGTCAGTGTGATATGATGTAGTGGGAATGGCGTGGGTTTTAATTAGTGTTTTAATACCATCTTATCCTTGATTTGGATCTCAGGATCTCTCTCCTAACTTATTAGTTATGTTGGGCTGGTTATTGAACCTCTGAGTCTTGATGCTGTCACTGTAAAATGAGAGTTCTAATAACTCCTTTGTGGGATTATCGTAAAAATTAGAGAGCATGTTTGTAATATATCTAATATCCTGTGACTCCCTGTATCTGCCACAGTGGACTTCTTTTGGCTCCTAGGCTCTTTCCCTTCTTACAACTCCAGATTTATCCTTACCTCTGGCTGTAAAACTCTTCTGCTGTTTTTGGTCTTAAGTGTCACTTTTTGGAAGAGACATTCTCTACTTCTCCAATTTAAATTAGCTCCCCTTGTTCTTTATAGCACACTCATCACAGATTTTAAATAGGTACTTATTTCTCTGATTATATGTTTCTGTGGTTTTTGTGATTCCGTCTCTTCCTCTAGACAAAGACTCAGCACCTTACAGTGCTTTGGTGAATTAATGCCTGGGACATAGTAGCCAAACAAGCATTTATTATCTTGCAGTTTCTATTGGTCAGGAATTCAAAAGTGGCTTAGTTACATGGTTCTGGCTCAGGGTCTCTCATGAGGTTGCAGTCAATATTTCAGTTTGGGCTGATGTCATTTTAAGCCCCATTGGGGCTAGAGGATCTGCTTCCAAAGTGGTTCATTCATATGCCTAGCAGTTGATGCTGGTTGATGGCAGGAACCCTCAGTCGCTCCCCACAGGGGCCTTTCCATGGGCTGCTTGACTGTCCTCAAGTCCTGGGGGCAAGCAGTCCAGGGGAGAGCAAGGTGAAAGCCACTGTATCTTTTATGACTCATCCTTGGAAGTCACATGCTGTCATTTCTTCGCTATCCTGTTCATT